CCCCAAGCCATAATATATATATATATATGCCATTTAGCAGACGCTTTTATCCAAAGCGACTTACAGTCATGCGTGCATACATTTTTTGTGTATGGGTGGTCCCGGGGATCGAACCCACTACCTTGGCGTTACAGGCGCCGTGCTCTACCTGCTGAGCTACAGAGGACCACATAAGACTCCTGAACAGCTAATCATGGCTACCCGGACTATTTGCACTGCCCCCCACCCCCACCCCCCCACCCCCACCCCCCACCCCATATTTTTACGGTGCTGCTACTCTGTTAATTATTTATGCATAGTCAATATAACTCTACCCACATGTACATATTACTTCAACTACCTCAACTAGCCGGTGCCCCCGCACATTGACTCTGCACCAGTACCCCACTGTATATATAGCCTCCCTACTGTTATTTTATTTTACTTCTGCTCTTTTTTTCTCAACACTTTTTTGTTGTTGTTGTTGTTTTATTTTACTTGTTTTATTTAAAAATAAATGCATTGTTGGTTAAGGGCTGTAAGTAAGCATTTCACTGTAATGTCTACACCTGTTGTATTCGGCGCATGTGGCCAATGAAATTTGATTTGATTTGATAAATAATAATATGCCATTTAGCAGACGCTTTTATCCAAAGCGACTTACAGTCATGCGTGCATACATTTTTTTGTGTATGGGTGGTCCCGGGGATCGAACCCACTACCTTGGCGTTACAAGCGCCGTGCTCTACCAGCTGAGCTACAGAGGACCACATGCTTACATAAACACACACAATCAACGCTGCTGTTCTATTTATATACTCATTCAACTGCACGAGGGTCATTCCATGAAGAGTGCCTTTTGTGTCCCTTTGATATTTTAAGTAGAATTTGTCCACCAATATTGAATTTTAAAAGCCTGTTATATTAAATTAAATGCCCTTTAATATAGAACAAATGGAGAATTCAATAAATCTGAATTATACTTGCTAAAGTGCCAAGATTCCGCATTTTGACATCCCTCAATGCACCCTCTGTGATTTCTAGGAAGATTTTAACCCACTTAATCCCAACATTTCTCCAACTTTTCCCCATTATTGTAAAGCAATACTTCTTACAAAAACAAGTACTGATGAAGTCAATCTCTCATCTACTTTGAGCCATGAGAGATTGACATGCATATTATCAATGTTAGCTCTCCGTGTACATTTAAGGGCCAGCCGTGCTGCCCTGTTCTGAGCCAATTGTCATTTTCCTAAATCCCTCTTGTGGCACCTGACTACACGTCTGGACAGTAGTCCAGGTAAGACAAAACTAGGCCCTGTAGGACCTGCCTTGTTGATAGTGTTGTTAAGAAGGCAGAGCAGTTCTTTATTATGGACAGACTTCTCCCCATCTTTGCTACTTTTGCATCAACATGTTTTCACAATGACAATTTACAATTCAGGGTTACTCCAAGCAGTTTAGTCACCTCAACTTGCTCAATTTCCACATTATTCATTACAAGATCGAGTTACGGTTTAGGGTTTAATGAATGCTTCATCCAAAATACAATGCTTTTCGTTTTTGAAATATTTAGGACTAACTTATTCTTGCCACCCATTCTGAAACTGACTGCAGCTCTTTGTTAAGTGTTGCAGTAACTTAACTCGCTGTAGTAGCTGATGTGTAAAGTGTTGAGTCATCCGCATACATAGACACAATGGCTTTACACAAAGCCAGTGGCATGTCATTAGTAAAGATTGAAAAAAAGTAAGGGGTCTAGACAGCTGCCCTGGGGAATTCCTGATTCTACATGGATTATGTTTGAGATGCTTCCATTAAAGAACACCCTCTGTGTTCTGTTAGACAGTTAACTCATTATCCACAATATAGCAGGGAGTGTAAAGCCATAACACATACGCTTTTCCAGCAGCAGACTATGATCGATAATGTCAAAAGCTGCACTGAAGTCTTACAAAACAGCTCCCATAATCTTTTTTATCATCAATTTCTCTCAGCCAATCATCAGTCATTTGTGTATGTGCTGTGCATGTTGAATGTCCTTCCCTATAAGTGTGCTGAATGTCAATTTGTTTACTATAAAATAGCATTGTATCTGGTGAAACACCATTTTCCCCAAAAGTTTACTAAGGGTTGGTAACAGGCTGATTAGTCGGCTATTTGATCCAGTGAAGTGGACTTTACTATGCTTGAGTAGCGGAATGAATTTTTCTTCCTTCCAGGCCTGAGGGCACACACTTTCTTGTAGGCTTAGATTGAAGATATGGCAAATAGGAGTGGCAATGTCGTCCACTATTATCCTTAGTATTTTTCCATCCAAGTTGTCAGACCAAGGTGGCTTGTCATTGTTGATAGACAACAATAATTTGTTCACCTCTTCCACACTCACTTTTCGGATTTCACAATTACAATGCTTGTCTTTCATAATTTGGTCAGTTATACTTGGATGGGTAGTGTCAGCGTTTGTTGCTGGCATGTCATGCCTAAGTTTGCTCAACTTGCAGATTAAAAAAATAATTAAAGTAGTTGTCAATATCAGTGGGTTTTGTGATGAATGAGCCATCTGATTCAATGAATGATGGAGCTGAGTTTGCCTTTTTGCCCAAAATTTCATTTTACTATCTTTCTTTATATGAGGTGAGCTGGTTCTACTCTATTTGGCAATTTTCTGGTGTTTCGTGGTGGAAAACTGAGCGGGTCAAGCCTAACAAGTAGACCCTCTTACCCATAGATAGACAGGCTAGAAATGATTTCAATAAATACAAAAAATGGTGAAGCTTGCAATCAATTGCCCCTCCCACACAACAAGCTTCCATTCCCCCTGTCACAAGCGGATTCATGGCTGATTTAAGATGAAATCGTCAACCCTGTTACGTTCAACCCTGTGACTTTATTTGGCACTTAACAGGCACTTAATATAGTCATTTTTTAATTTAATCTCTTGAGACGGGTAAACATATTTTTTATGAAGTTGAACATGTGCTCTTTATGACAGAATGTTAAAATTAGGTGAAATCAAACGTTTTTTGGGACCAAGTTACACTTCTCAAAAGGCACCCATCTCTTACACACAAGCACACACATAAACACACACAGACACACACTATTGCAATTTGAACATCATCCTGTAAATTGCTCTATTAGTACATCTATACATGCACAATTCATATTGTTGTTTATAGTGTTTATAGTGTAGTCTGTCGTATTTAGCTTGGTGTTCATTGTGTACATACTGTATGTGGATTGTGTAAATTCTGCTTCTATATATCCTGTCTGTATATTCTGTTTATTGTGTTCTTTTTTTATTGTGGCAGCACCATTTCACAGTCAAATTTCTTTACATGCAAATATATCTGGCGAATAAAGGTGATTCTGATTTAACTTCTGTAAATTCTGTTATCCAGGTAACTTACCACCTTCCCACTTGGTTATGAACGAAGCATTATTTGCATGGAAAATACAGAAGATTAGTGGGCACGTGGTGAAAATCCAAATTTAAAAACAACTGTTAGTGTTAGAAGTGGATCTCAAGTAAGTAGCTAGCAGTGATAAACCTGAATCACAGATGAAAGGGGTTGTTATCACAATCTTTGCCTGAAGTTCTCTTCTCTAAGGTTACCTACATTTCAAAAGACTGCAATGCATGATTCTGTAGCTAGACCTTGCTAGGCCAAAGCTAGCTACAGTAGCTAGCCTCATGAAAGGGTGGATCCCTGGCTGCAACTAGCTAGCCATCTCCAGCTAAGTAAACCTAACCCCACTGGTGTTAAGGACGTCTCCGTCTGTTGTGTTGGCAAGGTCGCGGCCGCCTCGCCGCGACCGGGAGACTCATGGGCGGCGCACAATTGGCCCAGCGTCGTCCAGGGTAGTGGAGGGAATGGCCGGCAGGGATGTAGCTCAGTTGATAGAGCATGGCGTTTGCAACGCCAGGGTTGTGGGTTCGATTCCCATGGGGGGCCAGTATAAAACATAAAAAATAAAATAAAATGTATTCACTAACTGTAAGTCGCTCTGGATAAGAGCGTCTGCTAAATGACTAAAATGTAAATGTAAGATCACAACAAGGATCTTATGAGCTGTGGAAGACCCTGCGAATAGCGGTAATATATTCTAATAGGTTTCTGTATGCAATGTTACTTGTGAAGGTAGCGTGGCCGAGTGGTCTAAGGCGCTGGATTTAGGCTCCAGTCATTTCGATGGCGTGGGTTCGAATCCCACCGCTGCCAAAATCTTTTGACGTAAATGTTTCTATCTCAGTCAGGTAGAAGTTATCTCTACACTACACTGAACAATGTATTACAAGTAGGGCTGACAAACTATGTAAAAAAAAATGTGATCGAGTTAGTCGCAGGATTTGCTGTGATTAATCACAATTCATTTTCTCAAATTGAGCTGTAAATTTAGATGTTTTATACAGAAAGCATTACAACAATATTGAATTCTAAATTGAAGGTAAATTGATAAAGCACACGGTCTTTAATCCAAATATCAATTTGTTTTGACATCGCATTGTTGTTTTGATAGATTATGTATTTTGGACGCTTTCAAACAATGCGATTAATCACGATTAAAACAAATGAGTGCACAAAAATTACAGACAGTTAACGTCGAGTTACTGATGTACTCTGACAGCCCTAATTACGAGTTAGAAAACGTTGGTAATCCAGGTGAACTATAAAACATTTGACAAGTGTCTGGTCTGTTGCATAGACTGGTGACTAGTAGTAAACCTCAATAGCCATGACAAAGACCTTTACTTTCGTGCCATCTTGTGGCGTTGCATAGTCATTACAATGAAGAGAGTCTACTCAAGGGCAGCTGTTTGTTGACAATTCCATAATTTATTAGTTAGAATGCTTACCCCTAAGAAATAAGTCTGTATCAGATTTTTTTTGTTGGTGGTATTTAAATTAGTCACAAAGTGCTCCCAGTGAATCCCTCTAAATGAGAGATCCATGATCATGGGGGCCCAACCTGCACCTCGTCATGGTTGGGTCACATCTATATGTGAGCCCCAGGCTTTATTGGGCCCTGAGCCTCTGCTGAGAGTGCTGCAGCTTTTGGATGGCCAGCTGGGTGTCCTCCAGGGAGATGCCCAGGTGCCACATGGCCCTGACAGAGCCTCCCATGTGGGGTAACATGAGTATGCGTATCCCCTGCACCAGAGCAGCCTGCTCTCCTTCCCCCACTCTGGCCATGAGGGCACAGAATTCCAAAAGAGCCACACACACACACACAAACAAGGTTATGTGACAGTATGAAAAATGTATGCACTCACTAACTGTAAGTCGCTCTGGATAAGAGCATCTGCTAAATGACTAAAATGTAAATGTAAATGTAATAACTTGCCTTGGTCAATAATCTATTATGAAATGAGTGGGTGTGTCTTGCAGGTTACATTTGCATTTCTGAAGGTACGCATTGCCTGTGAGTGCTTGTGTGTGCCCACCCTGTGCGAAGGTCCTGGCATGGCGGTGGTCTTCCTCCAGCCTGTTGACCATGTCCCCCAACGCCAGCTTGCCAGCGGCTGCCAGTATGACAACGCACCGCCCTGGAGATGAAGTCCTGAGGGCCAGCCAGCATGGTGCCAACTGGAGCACCCAGACCCTGCAACACACACACACACACAGTATCCGTATCACAAATACATGAGTCCAGCTGATGGTGTGTGTGTTTTGTAGGATTGTAGATGGGGCGACTTTCTGTGCCTCACCCTAATAATTTGGTCCCTTTTCCCCTCATAATTTTGCCTGTTTTAGAGAAATGTAATCATTTAAATATTGTAAGAGTTTTCATTGTCTGCTTATATGCCCCCTTTATTTATCCTACGGTTCTGACTTGGTGTACAGGGAGAATACTGTAAGAACAGCCCATGTTCTGAATTCTGTCGCTGTACATTTCAAAAGTGCTGATTAGAATGGGGATATGAAAGTATGGGTCTTTCAGGTCCACTGTGGTGAAACAATTTCCTGGTTGTACTGACTGAAGGATGGTTTTAATTGTCAGGATTTTGAAGGGAAGTGCTGAAAGATTACGGTTAAGGCACCTTAGGTCCAGGATCTTTTTTGGCACCAGAAAATAGATTGAGTAGAACCCGCAGCTTTGTTACGCTGGTTCTACCTCTTTGATTTAATGCTTTTCCAGGAGCAAGGAGATTTCTGAGCAGAGTGTTTGCTTTTTAGTGGGGTTGCGAGCTGTTGTTTTCAAGACACCCCTGAAGCGTGGGGGTTGCTGACAGAATTGTTGTGTGTAGCCTTGTGTTACAATGCGTAACTTTTTTGGCCATTGACCTTTTCCAGCTGGTGGTGCTCGAGGAAACAGTGTTGCGCTAGAGCAGTGGTCACCAACCGGTCGATAAAGCCTTGAGTTTTTAAAAAAATGCATTCGTTTCGTACTGTTGGCGGTATGTGCACTTGATTCAGCAGCCCTAGCGCCGGGAAGGCAAATGTTCCCATTTTGAACCACTTCATGTGCCTGAACGTAGAACTCCTACCCGGCAGGCCCAGAGGGCAAATCAAGTGCACCTATAGGCATACTGCTGGCCAATCAGATAGCTCAGATCACTGCAGTTTCCTTGAGCCATAGACTGTAAAAAGAAACCTCGAGTGCACAGCAAAGTTGATACTGTGAGATTTCAAAATGTTTAAAACCATGACTAGAGACTCAATGAATACAGCAAAGAGCTGCTGTTTATATGAGTAAGTTCATTTTAAGTTGTTATTCAGCACTATCAACACTTTGTTCAACACTTTTATAAGCCATAAAATGTGCGTTCTCCCTACTTCCACTGAAGCTACAACCAGCACTGCAGCTGCAATGAATGAGTAGCAAAGTGTTTCGATAAGCTTGTGTTGTTATTATTAGCTTTAATATCGAGGAATATTTCACTTTCTCTGGTCATAGGAATAACAACATGAATTCATGCATGAGACAGAAATAATACAGTGCGACTTAAGTTTCGCCATCAGCTGGAAGAGGCAGAGAGGGAGAGCGGAGGGACGGTGAGTCGGGTGAGAGGCAGCCTCACCGCTGCTCTCTCCCTCTCTCCCCTTAGACTGAGCATTTAGATGCAGGCCATCAGTCCAGTAAAATGATTACGCTGACTCAGCTGTGCAAATGATTTATTACCAGTTTGATCATATACCTCAAATTTGGAAATATAATTTCAAGATGGTCTGAGAAGAACAACATTGGCAGTGCAATTCAAGCATAGCCAATATGCAGTGATAATGTATTGGGACTATAGCCTACTGCACAAACCTCATTGCTACATAACTGTTTTTAATAGGTTAATGTTGCATAGGCTTACATTTCTTAAGTCATGTTTTTCTTTTTATCCAAGCGGTAGATCTCGGCTTACATTTCGACTCAGAAAGTGAACTTGACAAGAAAAGGTTGGTGAAGACTGTGCTAGAGAGTCGGTCCCATCAGGACCGAGGCTCTGCGTGCTGTGGGGTCCCGGCCTGCATATGGTGCACCTCTGTCTCTTGGCTATGTCATGGAAAGAGCCGGTGTTCTTAATGTTTTGTATACTCGGTGTATATATATATATTTCCATTAAAAAAACATTTTTTTACCAGTCACAAGTGTGGCGCTGGCTATAAGGTTTGCAATGGTTCCAGAGGGGAAAGGGGGATACCTAGTCAGTTGTACAACTGAATGCATTCAACTGAAATTTGTCTTCGCGTTTAATCAGTTTCACACTAATGAATTATGCAGTGTGTGCGCCCCATGCACTTCACTGCAGAATGTTTATTACACTGTTTTACAGACTTTTATTATTGTTCGACAGAACTTTGATGAGTGAAAGATCAGATAAGATATGTAAAATAATCTGATCATAATGATGAGCACTTTCTTAAAAGTCAGATCTTCATAAGTGATTGTTACGCAACTTCATATGCTTGCTAAAACTCACCCATCATCTAATTTCGCTGACCGTTTACGGTGCTGGTCCGGCACCGGTCAGCTGCTCCACTCCGGAGCCCGAGCAGTACGCTCCACCGGTTGCAATGACAGCTACACGGTCAGCTGCTCCACTCCAGAGCACAGAGCAGTCCGCCCACGGTGCCTGATCCAGCCGGTCACGGATACACTCCGGAGCCAGAGTAGTCCGCTCCACCGGGGCCCAGTCCAGCGGGCAGGAACCGTTAACGTTTTCAAAAACATATTTTCTGTCGATTTGAACAGAAAAACCGTTCATTCGTCGTTTTGACGTTTTGGTTGTGAACTTGTGAACTTTAGATCATTGTATTCGATTCGACAATAATAATGGAAAATGATCAGAAATAATAACCAGTAGGTGGCGCCACAGACCAAGCATTTCATTCCACAAGCCCACAACACAGAAAGAGTTTATTGCCATGATTCAACTTCTCTTCAATGCAAGGCAAGACAGCAAATACGTATATGCCATAGCTACATTAAGCTATATTATTCCCCAAGTAGTTGACATCTCATCCAGTCGTGTGGTTAGATGTGAGTATATCTTTGATACTGGTCATCAAGTTGTTGCCATAAGGAAGTAACGATTTGCCTTTCTAGCTGAGAGGAGGGTTTTCCGGTCAAAGTTTCCTTTGTGAGTCGGAAGGGGTGTACCACTAAAGCCAAAGGCGTTTACCCTAGTTAACAACAATAACAGCGACAATGATACGTAGCTAATGAGAACAAGCATGAATTCAATCTTTGAAACCACGACACAGAGCAAGATACCTCGCTATTAGGTTTTACAACTGCATGCTCCACCGCGTGACTAGACTGACAGGTAGCTGCTAGCATCAGATGCTAAGCTAGCTATTTATTGTAGCTAACTTTAGCTGTCTGAAGCCGGGAAGGTGGACTTGTCTAGCTTTACTGTCGATATATTCGCTTAAACCCCTTTTCTCTTTGCTGTTGTGGAAGTATTGGATTTCGTTATTCAATAGTTCTGCGTTGGACAATTTTCAGGTGAGCTCCCACTGCGTAGCTAACTAGCCTAGATACCGAGCAAACATGTCCAGATTGGCACAATGACAATGTGGGCCCAATGCGGCCGGGCGAAAATATTGGCCACATGTAGGCTTCCCACATTGGGCCGATGCGCCTTTTCTCATCGGCTCCACATTTGCACACAAGGCATTGGCTCAGTGTGGGGGTGAGGGTATCCCTAACGTTGACTGTCTTTTCCCAGAAAACGTACCCACATTGGCATGATGTGGGCCCAATGCGGGTTAAACCCATGTAGGCTGCCCAGATTGGGCCGATGCGGCTTTGCTCATAGGCTCCAAGGGCAGCCCTCACTTTTCCTGAAATGAGCCCACCCGTTTGGATAGGCTGCGTGTATCATTGTATCAGAAAGACAACAATGTTGTTGTTATCAGATATATATTATTACCAGAGAAACTTAGTTGTCATATGTCACATGCACTTATTTCAGTTTTTTTTTTTTACAGACTTCGTCAAACTGGCAATGTGCAAGGTGTGATATATATATATTAACACTAGTAAGATTGCACAAAAATAACTTGTGACATTAGAACTATAAGGTTCTATCTGAAAAAAGATGACTCGGAGATAATTGCCTTTAATGTTCTAAACTCATTGGTTTGAATGGTGTCTACAATTTTCATATATTGTATTATTTTTTAACTTAACATGAATTGGGGTATTTGCAAACCACTCCCCCAAATATTCTAATGAGTCCCCACCTCAACATTATGAAGTAGCTGGGCTTGGTGTTGGCAAACCTGTGTTGGACTGGTGTGGGCTTGGAGAGGAAAGCCCATGTTGGGCTGGTGTGGGCTAGCCCATGTTGGGCTGGTGTGGGCTAGCCTGTGCCCACCTTGCCCACCAAATACTCACATGGGGTCATGTTTGCTGGGTACTGGGTAGCTATTGTATTGTTCTCAACGGGTATTGTGTAACATAAGCTACCGTTAGCTATCAGCCATAAGAACCAATGACAGCTGTCGTGATGTCTGTGGTTAGCGCAATAGCTAACTGTGGATTTGGCTATCTAATCATACACATTGCCCTTGATATCGATAAAGGCCAAACGAGAGTATCTCTTCATCATGTTGCACCATACAGCTACATATATAGCTACCTAGATAGCTAGCTAGTTTGTATTCATGTCATGAGGTTGGATAAAATGATTGATGAATAGTTGCTAGGCCTATTTGTAGCAATGTGCTTGGACTAATGACATTCTCTTTTCCTTCCTCTCCTTCAGCACTCCTCCTAGCTGTGTGCTGAAATGGAAACACCATCCCATTTGTTTTCAAGGATTTAGCGGAACAGGTAAGTTCACATTTCCTGTTCAACATCCAGTCCATCACTAATTTCTTATTGTTGTCATAATATAGCTTAGCTAGATCTCCATTTACCTTCCATTGATGACTGTAACTTATAGATATATCATCTCATACATCATCACTGTGCATTTCTCCTCTGAGACAAGCTGAGGAGTGGGGTTGCTAACAGTCAGTGTAGCTGTTTTTCACTTCTAATATGTAAAACCCACATTCCAGCCAGGTGGGAGGTTGCCTGCTGTGTTGCTTTGCAAACATGTTCAGAGCAGATCTGCACAGACTAGTGTAGGCGTGCAGTGGGAGGAATGCCAGAGAACTCACTGTCCCTCCCCATGCTATTATGTTAGCACAATGCACTACATGTTTCAACACCCTCATACAGGAGAGGTGCTGGGAAGGAATAAAAAACAACCTTCGGGTGGATGTTGGCATGCCTGCAATCTGCATATTATCAAGATCATAATTGTTTTTGTGATAATGTATAATATGAAAACCTGATATTGTTGTTTGGGTGGTATCTAATATAAGATATTTCTGCTCCTGTGACAACTTGGTTGCTCAAGGATTGTGATCAACTACATTGTGACATTGCCTTCACCTCCAAAATGTGACTATGTTCTAATAATACATTGTTAATATCACATAACTCCACCTACTGCAATGATTATGATGTAGGCTATTCTATCATGACCATACCATATCTTGCATTGCATTGTGACATTTGAGGGGTTCCCTTTTGATTTGAATGAAACCTTCCATACCTGTTTGCCCATGGTAGAAGTGGTCAGAAGGGGACTTTTTGGACCTGAATGCCAAAATTTGCATATCCCACCATACCATGATACATAGTCTTCATCACTGAAAAAGATAAACGGTTGAGTTTGATATCATTTGAAAGCTTACAAACAGGGTTGTAAAACTATATATATATATATATATATATATATATATATATATTTTAATATTGTACTTTTTTAAGCTTAAAAGTCAATTATCAAAAAACTTGTAAAAAAAAAAAAAGATTAATGTTCATATACACTACTGGTCAAAAGTTTTAGAACACCTCCATTTGTCCAGTTTTTATTTAAATGTACACAGTTTCATGTCTTAATGTACTCTGAAATTAAAGCATAGAACAAATAAACAATTGGCGACAAAAAATGAATAATGGAATCGTTTTGTTTAACAAAATGTAATCTACATTTTTGACTCATCAAAGTAGCCACCTTTTGCAGACATAACAGCCGAACACACTCGTGGCATTCTTAGTACAATAGAAATCAAATATTGTTCGGAAAGTTCTTCCCAACACTGTTGCAGAAGTTCCCACAAATGTGTTGAACTTGTAGGTTGCTTTGCTTTCACCCTTCTGCCCAGTTCATCCCAAACAAGCTCGATGGGGTTTAAGTCTGGAGACTGTGCTGGACATTCCATGATTTGAAGCCTACCATCTTGTTATTTCCTTCTAAGGTAGTTCTGACATAGCCTGGAGGTACAGTTGAAGTCGGAAGTTTACAAACACTTAGGTTGGAGTCATTAAAACTCGTTTTTCAACCACTTCACAAATGTATTGTTAACAAACTATCGTTTTGGCAAGTCGGTTAGGACATCTACTTTGTGCATGACACAAGTAATTTTTCCAACAATTGTTTACAGACAGATTATTTCACTTATAATTCACTGTTTCACAATTCCAGTGGGTCAGAAGTTGGGTCACTAAGTTGACTGTGCCTTTAAACAGCTTGGAAAATTCCAGAAAATTATGTCATGGCTTTAGAAGCTTATGATGGTCTAATTGACATCATTTGAGTCAATTGGAGGTATACCTGTGGATGTATTTCAAGGCCTACCTTCAAACTCAGCGCATCTTTGCTTGACATCATGGGAAAATGAAAAGAAATCAGCCAAGACCTCAGAAAAAAATGTGTAGACTTCCAAGTCTGGTTCATCCTTGGGAGCAATTTCCAAATGCCTGAAGGTACCACGTTCATCTGTACAAACAATAGTACGCAAGTATAAACTCCATGGGACCACGCAGCCGTCATACCGCTCAGGAAGGAGACGCGTTCTGTCTCCTAGAGATGAACGTACTTTGCTGCGAAAAGTGCAAATCAATCCCAGAACAACAGCAAAGGACCTTGTGAAGATGCTGGAGGAAACGGGTACAAAAGTATCTATATATCCACAGTGAAACGAGTCCTATATCAACGTAACCTGAAAGGCCGCTCAGCAAGGAAGAAGCCACTGTTCCAAAACCGCCATAAAAGAGCCAGACTGCGGTTTGCAACTGCACATGGGGACAAAGATCATACTTTTTGGAGAAATGTCCTGTGGTCTGATGAAACAAAAATAGAACTGTTTTCGGCCATAATGACCATTCGTTATGTTTGGAGGAAAAAGGGGGTGGCTTGCAGCCGAGAACACCATCCCACCGGAAGCCGGGGTGTCAGCATCATGTCAGCACCTGGTGGCGCAGGTCTAGGCACATCGCAAACTGTGTCACTAGAGATCTGATCCAGCTCTGTCGCAGCCGGCCGCGCCGGGACTATGGCGGCCCCATTGGACCCGTCGCCAGGTAAATGGCGCCGGAGTAGCTCAGTGATAGAGCATGGCGTTTGCAACGCAGGTGTGGTCGATCCCCCGGGGGGCCGTAGAAAAAAATTGATTCACTACTGTACGCCTCTGATAAGCGCTCTAATGACTAAATGTAAAGTGTGGGGGTGCATTGCTGGCAGGAGGGACTGGTGCAATTCACCAAATAGATGGCATCATGAGGAAGGAAAATGATGTGGATATATTGAAGCAACATCTCAAGACATCAGTCAGGAAGTTCAAGCTTGGTTGCAAATGGGTCTTCCAAATGGACAATGACCCAAAGCATGCTTCCAAGGTTGTGGCAAAATGGCTTAAGGACAACAAAATCAAGGTATTGGAGCGGCCATCCCAAAGACCCTGACCTCAAACCTATAGACATTTTGTGGGCAGAACTGAAAAAGCGTGTGCGAGCAAGGAGGCCTACTAACCTGACTCAGTTATACCAGCTCTGTAAGGAGGAATGGGCCAAAATTCACCCAACTTATTGTGGGAAGCTTGTGGAAGGCAATGCTACCAAATACTAATTGAGTGTATGTAAACTTCTGACCCACTGGGAATGTGATGAAAGAAATAAAAGCTGAAATAAATCATTCTCTCTCCTATTATTCTGACATTTCACATCCTTAAAATAAAGTATTGATCCTAACTCTACCTAAGACAGGGACCTTCTACTAGGATTAAATGTCAGGAATTGTGAAACTGAGTTTAAATGTATTTGGCTAAGGTGTATGTAAACTTCCGACTTCAACTGTATGTATGTATGTATGTATGTATGTATATATATATACAGTGAGGGGAAAAAAGTATTTGATCCCCTGCTGATTTTGTACGTTTGCCCACTGACAAAGAAATGATCAGTCTATAGTTTTAATGGTAGGCCAATGTAATGAATTGATTTACATTTTAATGAGGAAAATAAGTATTTGACCCCTCTGCAAAACATGACTTAGTACCTGGTGGCCAACTATAAGAAACGTGTGATTGCCAACAAGGGTTTTGCCACCAAGTACTAAGTCATGTTTTGCAGAGGGGTCAAATACTTATTTTCCTAATTAAAATGTAAATCAATTCATTACATTTTTGACATGCGTTTTTCTGGATTTTGTTGTTGTTATTCTGTCTCTCACTGTTCAAATAAACCTACCATTAAAATTATAGACTGATCATGTCTTTGTCAGTGGGCAAACGTACAAAATCAGCAGGGGATCAAATACTTTTTTCCCTCACTGTGTGTGTGTGTATATATATATATATATATATATATATATATATATATATATATATATATATATATATATATATATATATATATATATATATATATATATACACATACATACACACACACACACAAGGACCAGTTAAAAGTTTGGACACACCTACTCATTCAAGGGTTTTTCTTTATTTTTACATTGAAGACATCAAAACTATGAAATAACACATGAAATCATGTAGTAACCAAATAGCCACCATTTGCCTTGATAACAGCTTTGTACACTCTTGGCATTCTCTCAACCAGCTTCATGAGGTAGTCACCTGGAATGCATTTAAATTAACAGGTGTGCCTTCTTAAAAGTTAATTTGTGGAATTTATTTCCTTCTTAATGTGTTTGAGCCAATCAGTTGTGTTGTGAAAAGGTAGGGGGGGTATACAGAAGATAGCCCTACTTGGTAAAAGACCAAGTCCATATTATGGCAAGAACAGCTCAAATAAGCAAAGAGAAACGACAGTCCATCATTACCTTAAGACATGAAGGTCAGTCAATTCCGGATCATTTCAAGAACTTTGAAAGTTTCTTCAAGTGCATTCACAAAAACCATCAAGCGCTATGATGAAACTGGCTCTCATGAGGACCGCAACAGGAATGGAAGACCCAGAGTTACCTCTGCTGCAGAGGATAAGTTCATTAGAGTTACCAGCCTCAGAAATTGCAGCCCAAATAAATGCTTCACAGAGTTCAAGTAA